AACACATTTAAACGAACAATATTGTTGTTTTCAATTGGATCTCATCAGGCTTAACTCTAATATATATAAGTTTACAAATAAAAATTCAAATATAAACCAATCATGGTGTTTTGTCTATAGGATAATACGATGGTGAATATAAACTGTGCAATTAAACAAAATAGTAACAATAATAATAGTAATAATAGTGATAATGGTCTTATCAATAATAAGTATGAAAAAGTGAGGCAATCTGTGATAACACGAATAATGAAAAACAGCATGATTAAACAAACAAATGTTCAGGTGGAAGTAGTCGGTAAAGGCTAGTAAAAATGAATGAACCGATTAAGTAATGTTAGATTGTAAGGGAAGGAAATGAGACACCTTTTTAATGAAGATGTGATAAAATTAAGGGATGATAAGAGAGGGGTTAAAAATATAAGTAAGTAAGGGGTGGTGTAGAAGTCATCAGTTGGTTATGTCTTAATAGGCCAAACAGGGAGGATGATGGCTGTACGAGCTTCTTTTGAATGCATAGTTTAGGTTCAATAGTTCGAATGCCTATCTCCTCGTCTGTTTGCAGTAGACGAATACGAAGTCTATTGGAAAGATTCGGTGGGATACGATGAATTACTTTGAAGGCTCTCGTTTTCTCGACTACACGACCACTATCAACTAAATGTGACAAAATTGAGCTACGGATTGTTTTTGTCTACCTTTTGCCAAACCACCACAATGGGAGATGTTCACTAACACATTGGGTGAGCTGTCTAGTAGTACGTCCTACATAACTGCCACCACAGATGCAATTGAACTGATAAATACACATAGATATGGTAAAACTATCTAGCTTATTCTTCGTTTACGTCCCAATCATTCGTCGGCTAGAGAATGACAAATATCGGTGTGCTGCGTAAAATGTTCTTCGTATACTCCTTGAAATTCTTTGGAATAGAATCTCACTTGATGAGTCACCATTAAATTGTAACCTAATAAATAGAGGTTTTTTTACGTGCAGTCATAGTCTCAGGTTGTTTCTCTGATGTTTTCATATGTTTCTTCATGAAACTACTCGGATAGCCTATCTCCGTCAAGGAATCGTGAATATATTTAAATTCTTTTTGTATGAGGTCATCCGTACATATTTTTATATGACAAATTTGTCACTATTTGATAAAGTTGAAAGGGAAAACTTTGTGGAACGTATAAAATCTACTACAAATTGTATACACTTTACAAATGAAAATGATTCTAAACTTCCAGTATAGTTTTATCAAAAGACAAAGAGATGGAAGATCAAAATTCGTAATGCATAAGTAACTGGTATATTAAAACAAACATGTGAGCTTCCATTGTGATCGTCCACTTGGTATGAATGATTCAGTAGCTTTAAAATTCTCCCGATTGGAGTTAAAATCACTGCAACTAACAAGGATGATGTGGAGGACAAGGTCTCCAATGTAGAATGAATTTTAGAAATTCAAAACAAGTGATTCACCGAAGGGACCCTTTTCAACAACGAATTTATTATCAAGCCACACCGATGGAATCTTGAAGAGATCGATTTATCGAAAGCTGTCATGGAATGGTCAACTGACAAATTTCTACAGCTGGGTACCTATTAGTCGAAAACGAAATCTGGTCCTGTCGCTTACCACTCGTATTCGGCGAATATGTAGCCCTGATGCTGTGGATGATTAGTTAATTCCTTTGAGGAAAATCCTAATAGAAAATGGATTTCCACCACGTTTTATAGACAAGAATATACAGTCGAATCCTATGAAATGTGTCTTATCATCCATACCCAAGAAAATATTGTGCGTCAGCTTCGAATCGAAAGATGAATTAGCTTCCGATATTATGAAAAGAAAGTTATCACAGTCCTTGAAAAGGACATTCCCTGCTACATCTTTGACAATAGCCTTTACCGGTTCACCATTACTGTTCAATAACCTGAAGGACAATATCCCGCTGTTGACCAACTCTGTGTGCGTTTATCAATTCACCTGCTCGTGCAGAGCTAGGTATATCGGTCGTTCTACTCGAGTTTTGTCCAAGAGGGTGCAAGAACACTATCCTGCATCTCAACGAAGAGGTGGAAGTGGAGCAATAAGAAGCGCGATCACTGAACATCCGGTCGATAATGATTACCCTATCTCTACACCCTCCAGCTCTAAAGTCGTCTACAAGGTAAAAAGCAATTTACCGAAATCATTACGTACCCGACTCATCTGTACTACTGAACCTTTGGCTATCGAAACAGAAAAGCCACTCTCTGTGTGCAGAAAAATTTCGTTCCACCTCTACAATTTTCATAATCTTAATCTCTCTATGCTAAAGTATGGTAATAACCATTTCATATTTAGGCTTTACCAATTTTTTTTATTTTGTCTATTCAATTTGTAGACTCTTACTTTATTATGTCAACTGTTACTATTACTATTCTCACTTTGAACTGTCCCTGATATTATTTCACTTGTTCCACTTGTCATTCTAAATCAATTCTGTTTTGTAACGTTAAATTCTATGCTGTCGAATTTCACATGATGTTACGTAACGTTTTTATTTTATTCTATTTGTCTACTAATCCTATAATTGCACACACCCTTCCAAGTTCTATCCATCCTATGAATTATTCTATATATGACATTAATTTGCTTTGTCACTCGATATTGAACAATGATTATAATCACAAATATTTTAATTACATTTTATACTACTATTATTATGTTATGCATTCACATCTATGATTCCATTCTCTCACCGAATATAACTTCTTAAAAACCTTATTTATATACGATTGTACAGCTTGATAATAAATTCGTTGAAAAGAGTCTCTTTGCTGAATCACTTATTTTGAGTTTTTGTATGTTACAATGGAATTTTCCTTGAATAAATTTTGATTTGAAATGACTGTATGTGTGTTTTTGAACACAGTTTTTAATAAAATTGGCTGGAATAAAACAAGCGTGTTGAAAAATCTTGAATGTTAAAAATACCTATTCCACATCAAAAAAGACACGGCTGAATAACTTGAAAAGATTACTTTATGCTCATGAGGTTAAATTCTGTTTGAAGCTCTCAAACTTTTCAGAGAAATGTTTTAGTTAATCTGAAAGATGTATATTATAAAATGATAGTAAAAAACTGCGTTTATAGGACAAAATATTGGAAGCATGAGACTTGATATATAAATATATATATGTATATATATATGAGTACGGTTATTGAAAATATCTTGATAATTTTTCTATTGTGTGAAGATTCTTTTATTACGATTTTTTCTACTTAGTTAAAGCAAGTTCTGAGGTGAAAGTAAATGGCTGCCATAAATGCGTTAAGGTATTAATGCATCGCGACATTTACTAATGACTTCAAATTTTTCATTCCAATATCAAAAGGGTTATGTTGTTGGTCTGTCTTACAGCTAAATTTCACTGATGTAAGTGCTCGTAACATCATCCGGTTGTCAATACTGCATTGCTATGTATTATTTAAAAATAAACTTTTCCAATATGGAATAAACCTAAGTGGTCTGTGGTCTGTCTGTCTGAGATAAAAACGATCATCATCAGTAAGATTAGTTAAGTTTATTTCTACTCCACTTATGTTGTGCACTATTTCAGCATTCCTTCTAACAGGAGATTGTTTTGACATTTAATTTTTGCATTACTATATCGTATTTGTCTTTTAGTTGTAGTGAGGAAGTACAGCGTGGTTTAGCTTGAAGGTAAGAGAGAAGTTTCAGTCGACAAGCAGACTTCATGGATTTTACGAAGTGATATGGTGTAACAGTGACAGTGCTGACACATATGTATACCATTTTCGAGACACGATATGGAAGGTCAAGACTTGAAAAATAATCTTAGAAACAAGTTAACCTTCGTTGTATTGAATCTTACATTTTCAAGTATGGAAAACAGTTGTTAATCTGAATCAAGTGTTATGTGCAGCTGTTAAATAGGAGAGATGTGTGTAAATATAAACTTAGTTAATAACTAATCAGTGCCATGTATTTGAAGACCCACATGACGCTCACTTTGGTACTAGACTGGAAAGAAAAAAGGGATACCAAGCAGGGTCCTTTTCAAAGATAACACTTTTAACAATCAATGACGTCTTTCCGTCTAAAAGTAGCTTGGAATTAAATGCTTCTAATGTATTTATTAAGTAGGTTAAATCACCTCAGGCATAAAAATGAAAACACAGAAGTTTCCTGATACTACTTTTCCTGGAGGAACACTGAAAGAAAATTCTGAGAACATAAAGCTTCCACTCAAAACATTTGCGAATATTTGGTGGGAAGCTTGGTAGAGGAACTTAATTTGAGCAGATAGTAATAAATATTCCTCCACTTTTCATAACGATGTTATTAAGATCCACTAACTACTTTTCATAGTGCAGAATGATGTTACAAACGTCACTCAGAAACTGCTCAGTGAATATTATGACAACAGTTTATGAGACAAAAGTTATAAATATAAACTTAGTGTCCGGACTACACCTTCTGCGGTTCATATCCCGGGATATTGCACTTCCGTCATTTTAATTCGATGAAATTAATTCTAGGGGAAGAAACTCTTAAAAATATACAAGTGTAGCTTTATTAGGGGGTTGGTTTGGGAAAATCTGTGTCAGTGGTTAGCTTAATATGTGGGGTAGCTTGGGAAATTGGGGGTATATTTCGTCGTATTCAGGTGAAGCTTGGGAATAATGGAATGTATCTAATTATCTATAATGTTGTACTTTATCTACGTTTGCTGATTTAAAACCCTACGCTTTGCTTATGCTTTCTAAGGCCGGATGGTAATTTCGGGTTTTAGAACTTTATAAGAATTTGAGATAATTTTTCCAATATAAGTTTAGAAACGGATTCCAAATTAATCACAAAAACTAATATTATGCTCTCACAAGGTGATTATTTACAAAGAAAGTGCAGGATCTTACAGTAATCTATACACAAATAATAATAAATACTCACAAATTATTTCATTGTGTTGTAAATAAAGTTATCTCACCTGGACGGTGAAAAAACAACAGAGAAGTTAAATTTTGAAACATATCGTTGATCTTATGCTCTCTAAGATAAGACTCAACCTCATCTTTCCTTGGACAATGTTCGTAAGTCATGCAGCAGTTAACAAAGGCGCGCGTATGGGTCAATAGCAACGGCCTTCAACAGACAGTGTCCAAATTCATTGAAGACTTGGTATAAACCTTGTGATTTCTTGGCGTTTACTTCCTGTTCTTTTGAGCTGAATCTACATCTTCAGTAGAATCTGTCTCCTCACGACTGAAAAGGACCAGGAAAATGCATTTACGTACCACTTCTTCATAGTCTTCACACAGGAATTGTCACAACCCGTAGCATCACCTGCGGTAACGTGAAAGGGAAGCGGATTGGATTCTGACAATGTCAATTAAGTCGTCGTAATCAAATTTCTGGGTGCAGTAGATGCAGGAAGTAAGTGGGACTCAATGACCCTTGTCCAAGTCTTCTCCAGCAACTGACGGCTAAAAGAGTCCACTTACTACGACTTTAAATACATTCGTCCAAGTGGAGTGTTGTCGGGCGTTAACCCAATCCAAAAAAGAGGTCTTAGTCTGTTCTTCAAAACATATGCCTCTTAGTCTCAGCAGAATCTTGCGACCACATATTCATCAGTGAACATTGGATGCTTACCCTGACAGTTTAAGTCAACTGGCTTAGCTGAAGGCTCCCGGTCAAGCACCCACACCATTTGGAACGCCGTCGTGTCACGTTCGTTAGTTCTTGCACGATCCCTAGCTAGTTAAGCAATCATCTCTCACTCCAATTCAGTCCCGAAATATAACTCGTAATTTGGACGGTCAATTATGGTGTTTCGCTTTGCCTTTGGCCTACGCGGAACGAATACTATGGAAGTTATGTGTACCAGATCCTGCGTTAGTATACTTTGTAATATCCGTGAACGTCAACACCTTCAGCATCTAAAATATTATGACATATCTAGAAAAAACACTTTCCATCAAGCATGTAACAGGGTTTCAGGGAAGCCCCTCGTGTTTGACAAGCCTCGCAAGGTAAAGCTAAACTATGTTCAGGGACAGCAAGAAACTGATTGAAGTATCTTTTCATAAGTTTCTGAGAAGCTTTCCGCTAGGTGCGCAACATAAAATTGCTAGTGAATGCTCAGTCTTGGGATAAAAGACGGTTGTCCTAACTGGACTAACGAATACCTTCTAAGCGGAAAACAACCGACTTGGCTCACTACTGAAGCTCGTCTACGTTGTCATTTGTTTACTGTCCTCCTTGAAGTGACTGCGAAATTTGTGAAATCCTTTTGTTAATTCCTCTGTTATCTGTTCGTTATTTAACTTTGTGTAAAATATTATTAGATGATGGTGTGGCTTTACGTTTTCATCACTCCTCAACTTTGGTTATTGACTTCCAAAGGAAGTGATCCCGATAATTTTATAAACATTCAATTTTGTTCGGCGTGTGTATTTCCTTATAATCAAATAGTATTCGCGGCACAATTTTTCTTTATGCCTCATTCTGTTTTTAACACTTTGGTCTTTTTTTATCAACCTATAAATTCGTTCACAAAACACTGGATCAACTTGACGCACCATAGGTTTTCTTGTAATAGATGCACCGTGAGCCATTCAAACTAAATTTTAGCCCACTCTTGATCATTTACATAACTCCACCACACTTTCGAAATGGGGCTTAAGGTTTCAATAACTAAGTTTCTCCACCTATCCATGAATATATCTGCCACAATCGGGGATATTGATGATCCCATGACAACACCCTTAGTTCGTTCATATATTTTCCCTTGGAGTTTAAACAATGCGGAATTCAGGTAAAGCTGTACCCCAGCATTATGACTTCTAGTTGCACTTTTGTTCTAAGTTCAATTTTATGGGTAGAAATGAGTTCATTTCTGGCTACCTCTATAGCCATATTTGTGGAAATACGTGCATATAAACTGGAATAGCCAAAACTGACTATTTTTCCCTCACTATTCAATTTAAAATTATCTAATTTGTGCTTGGTCCATGAGAATCTGTTAGTCTAGATATTCAGTGGTTTTCGGTAGGATTCAAATTAACAGCTGTATATCACGACAATTCATAAATTAGTGGATTTATCAAATCATCTTTAGGTCAAATAGGGTATCTTGACTTATGAGCATCAACAGCACCATACATCCAGCTGAGGTTATTGGTTTCCGGCACTAAATTAGGCCATTTAGACCCACCTAGAAAAGGCTTCATTTTGGAGTTTAAGTTCAGCTGTGGATTTCTTAACCCTACCCACAAGTATGTCTATTGATTTCGTAATTTCCCTATGCTGTCCTCTTTGTATGTAGGTATTTGCATTCTCTAAATAATCTGATTTTTCTAATATTACTTTTCCACTTACTTTGTTTGACTTGGCGGTTAGTGTGTCGTTGTTATTCCTAAGGTAACTTAATTTCCTAGCGGTTTGTCACAAATGCTTAAATATATGTATACATGTATAAAGTTTAGACTGCTAAGAGTGTCCTCAGACATTAATGTATCTAGTGACCCAATGGGAAGCACTAGTCATGAAATTGGGTGAGGCTCAAAGCCATACAATGCTGTAACTACAATTATTGCCAAAAAATCTCAGTCCTTAACATCAAAAAGTTGGGATAGACGAGCATGCTGATCAGCAGATAGAGTAGTGCTTACAGATGTCAATCGCTCCGACCTGTAGGACAACAGCGTGCCTTCTTTGACAGCTCAAGAATTAAACATTAGTCTAGATCCTTAACAAAAATAAGGGTTGTGCATATCTAAATTATTAAAAAAATGCTTTTGCTCCAACAGTCTAAAGGCTGCTCGACTTCTTGCATGGGCTCTACAGAGATTCGTGAGACATCTTACAGGTCAGCTTGTCCTATTGGTTCCAATCCCCACTTATCCACCTCACGATAATCCTTTAATTTACTCACCATTATACTTTATCTTACCTTAGCTACCTAGGGCTTTATTAAAGCCGAAACTGACTCTTCTTTCAAATTTGTTGCTTGCTTAAAGTCTGGTTGCTTTGATCAAAAACACAACAACACCAATATTTGAGCAGAGCTATATTTTCATCGAAAACGTCATAGTTTCCATGCTAAGACCAATATGGTTAGCATCAAACATTGCGAATTTATACTATCATTCCAAGGCGCCTCCAGCTTCTTCTTGTATATATCTTGCAAATGAACCTTCAGTGACGTATTTCCCATAACTGTATTTCACTCCATTTTGAAGTTTCCCAGGACGTTCTCTTCTTCATCAAACCACTTTTAATCACATGGAGGCATAGCACCCACCCAAATATACGCGATTAACTGGTTGACCATAACTATCAGCGGGAACTGAAATGAAGTTTGAGTTGTCGCTCAAATTAGACGGTGAAAGGTTTACAATTTAACATGGCTTGTACATTATTCTTTTGAAAAATTATTGATTTATAATACTTCATTGTTATAAATTATAAGACAACTGATAGAGCTGGTAAAAATGGCATGCATTTCATGTAAACTTAACCGTTTATAGAAAATATGAATTACTTTGTTACAAGTCAACGAAAAGCCACGGAATATATCCAAACCTAATTTGCATCAGTCGAAACCCGCGTTGAAAAGTAATTCAGCCGCTGTAATGGGACTAAATGATGACATTAAGATTAGGACGACTGAAAGAGTATAACATCAGTAACCAGATATATACTTACTTGATATATGTAACATATGATGAGCAAGCTAAGCAAGCATACCAAAATATAGATCGAACAAAGGTGCATGATGAATTGCCTGGCCACTTGGAAATGTTTCTTCAGTGCAAAGAGCACTAAATTATGGATGATGAAGCTATAGGCCCAAAATCAATGTGATTACTGAACGCTGCAATTCACTACTGTAGCATTCTGAGGACCCTGAATGTGTAACAGCCTGATACAGAAACCTAATAGTTGTTGTCAATGGAGTTGAAGATTGAACGATCAATTCTTGGTTGTTTGCTCAAAATCAACTTCCCCAATTTTCGCGGAGGCATCAATACGACAGTCATCGTCTCATCGGTCGCTGTTCAGAAAGAAGAGTGAAACATCGTCAGAAGTAATCTTATGATTTATTATTGTAATATTTGTTTTCAGACCTTAGTTCGCTTATTCCTTTTATATGTTGGTGTAACAATAAACAAATCTAAAGCGGCAGATCGGTGTTTTGGTTTTTGCGTCCGTTATAACTAAGCGTTTCTGAGAAATCTTCGAAGAACAGCGTGGGCCCGAGCGTAGCGAGAGCTGGGCATTAACGGTTTATGAGACGTGATTGACAGTTTCTGACGATAGAAACAGATCTGGCGGATTCAAACAGTTGGTGAAAGTTTGGATAGTCGCCGTTCATTTTTCCTGGTGCCGGTCAAGTCCTCTTTGAACAAGCAATATCTGGAACTTTTTGGAATTGGGTCAAGTTCAACAATGCCTGGGTCAAAGAAGGGACAGAGTGTCTTGGATGCAAACAGGAAAGTAAGTCATGGTGACTTGTCTGTTAATTGTAACGATGTGTCTGATGTTAAGCATGACATGGTTGATGTTACTGTTTCGCCGTTCAGGGATAATAGGAACATCAAACTCCCTAAATTTGAACCACGGTGTTTTGATGGAAACCCGGCTGATTATTTACAATTTGTAAAGGAGTTTGAGATCATGTTGAGTGGTTTTTATTAAATGATGAATTGAAGTTAATGTATTTGATGAGATATTGCACTGGAGATGCTGCAAGAGCTATACAGTGCTGTAAGTTTATGAAGCCAAAAGAGGGCTACTACGAGGCTATGAGCATATTACGTCAAAGGTTTGGAAGACCTTCGATGATTGCAGGGAAATTATTCGAGGCTGTTAAGGGTAATGGTGGTCAATTACAGGATGACTCCCAGGCACTCACTGAGTTTTTAGATAATTTGCTAATTTACAAGAATGGAATGATTTCGATGAATCGCATGAGTGACCTCAACTCGAGTTTTATACTAGAAGTAATAGCAAGACGTCTACCTACTCGACTGCAAAGGAAGTGGGTGAAGATAAGCTCCCGTATGGAGGATGAGGGTATCGAGCCAAAGTTTGATGATATCCTGAAACTGGTAAATACTAGTGT